GGTTTGTCATGCTGTAGTTAAGTTGATGTTGACTCTTTTACTGGGCAGTCCCACTGAAAACAAAAGCTGTGAGCTGACGGCACAGAAACAAGTGATGGATTGCTTCCAACAGGAAGGTAGCTAAAGGCACGTCAAAATCAAAGCTGGAAAGAGCTCTCATTATTTGTAGGTCCTACTGTATGATTATTTAAACTTGTTCCATTTAATAAGATCTGCCAATCCTGATAGGATTAGTAATTAAAAAAATAAAAGAGATGACATAGCTGTTTCATTGAACCTGAGTATGAACTGTGCCATATAATAACCAATGATAATTTATTAAGGGATTTCCAACTATGAGTGCTAAGATATGCTGTTTTCTTTGATCCTCAGGACAAACTCTGAGGTAGGTATTGTCCCCAATTTATGATGTGGAAAACTGAGGGTTAGAGAGGTCAGGTAACAAGCCCTTGGTCATACTGAGGACAAATGACAGAGTTGGGACGAAAATCTGTGGAAGCACGTAGTGCTTATTACTTGAAGGGAATAGAAGGACTGTGAATTTACTGGCCTTTTTACTGGGAACCAAGGTTATTTTGTCCTGACTCAATGAAGTTTGCATCTTTGCTAAGTACATTTGCCAATATATAATACACAATTTATCTGAGAACCCTAAATTAATGTTTTATCCTCTAGAATTGTGGATCTCAGCCAGGGGCAATTACCTTTACTACCCACCGCTTCACTCCAGGGACATTTGGAGATGTCTGGAGACATTTTTGATTGTCACAACTAGGTGAGAGCTGCCCCTGGCATAAGTATAGAGGCCACAGTTGCTGCTAAAATCCCACAACGTACAGGACAGCCTTCTCTTAACAAAGAATTAGCCTCCCAAAATGTCACTAGTGCCAAGTTTAAAAAACCTTATTTTAGGGCGCTCTGAAAATTAATCGAAAACCTTGGAAAGATTGAGAACTTGGATAAGCAGAGCTATCCAGCTCATCTCCATAGAGAATTCTGTCCTATCTCTAGTAATTCTCACATGTCAGCCCCTTTAGCACATGTCTCCAGCAAGACTGGTCTGTGATGTCACTGAATATTATAGAAAAGCCAAACTGTTATCAAAGTGGAGCTCCAGTGTTTCTGAGAAGATAACTTTGGCATCTGTGTTCCTTGTTTCTTGTTCCATGTTCCTTGACAGCCATTTTTTTTTAAATTCCTACACTGAACATTTTTTTTTCCTCAAAAAATGGCAACGTCTGAAACTATTCCTTTTCTTTTGAAACACAGCATATGCTTGTTTAAACGCTCCATGTGGCCAGAGTTCCAAACACAGGGCTTTTCACATTTGTTTCTCATCATTTTTGACAATTAGCCTCCCTTCTTTCAATAAACATCTCACTCTTAAAGACTAGTTCTTAAGTACCATTTATCTTTTCCTGGGTGGAGTAGAGATTTCCCATGAACAAGCATTTCACATTTTTCTTTGCAAAATGTTTTTCCAACTGTTTAACTCTGTGGGCAAACCTACAGGGTAGACCAAAAAAAAGGATGTTTTGAGAGCTGAAAGTCTCCTCTAAGCTCCTAATCTGAATTCTTTAGTTTCCACATTAAGGAATGGCCCCCCACCCCCTGCCTCTGAAAATGATTGTGACTGAACATTAGGGATATGGTTTCACTTCAATACAGGCAAAAAACATTCTTGTTGGCAATTATCCAGGAAATAGAATATTTAAACCTGTTTCTCCAAACACTTGAGTTCAATCATCTTTTACTATCAACAATTCCAGAAATTGAAGGGAAAAAAAGAGAAAGTTAAAATAATTTATAAATTATTTTAGAAACATTGACTGATACACTCTTCTTTTTATAGGACCAATCAGTTGAATCAAATAACATCATTTCTAAGTCCTGGAACAGTTTGAAAATGGATGATTATTTAAATTGAGTTTTAAAAGTCCTATCTAGGACCACTCTTAGACGGTGAAATGACCGTCTTAGAGGCACCCCTACATTGGTGTTTGAGAGAGTCCTTGTAAAGCAGAAGGAAATTGGCTTACAAGAGACAAAGAAAATGCTGAAGACCTGCATAGAGAAGGTGCAGCCCTAGTCTCCCCACTTCACCTTAACCTCATCAAAACCGGACAAAACAATGAATTAAGTCTTTCTCCTCCCCAGTGCTTCACTGCCCCCATCTTAGAGGCATGTTTTGTGTCCATATTCCTTTTCAAGAGAAAGGAATTCCAAAATTCAAGAGAAAGGAATTCCAAAATTCAAAAAATGTTGGAATTGATCTCATTACGAACGGGCACACAGAGCAGTCCCTACCCAGGGCTTTGCCCCAGGAGTTGGCCATGACAATGTCAAATGAAGGAAATGCCTTCAAGCTGATAAACTTAGGAGACTAGTAAAGACTGGATGGTAATTGTTTTGGGCCCCATTGCCCTGACAGCTGAGAAATAGAGTTCCTACATTTATGTTGTTTTCCTTACTAAATCAAGGTTGTGTATGTGTATATGGGTGTGTCTATAAAATGCATAATCAATTGTGTGTCCTATAGGCAAACCCAGACAAGAAGGGCTGGATATATTATTTATTCTGCAAGGAGTTTCTCAGTTGGAAACTGGTAACTGACTTTCTGGGATTACCTTGTAATACTTCCTCCTCTTCTTCCCCTCCTCTTTCGTCGTCTCCTCCTCTTCCTCCTCTTTTTCTTTGTGATCTGCAATCACAATAAGATTTAAGGATAGATATAATCCTTTACATCCATCACAGTGTGAATTATACAAAGAGCTATGTAATAGTCCAAATTTCCTGCTTTATGATTTTACTGGCTTGCCTAGCAGGCTGCTCCTCCTCAAAGAAATTAAGTCTTCAGACTTCTGGTTGGCAAGGCCTTTGAGTCCCTCTGCTGTGCTCCCCTTGGGGGATGGAAGTGTTTCAGGTTGGTCTACAGTGACTGCTCTCACTGAGCAGTGTACTGCTGTTCCAGGGGAAAGTGCCAACTGGCAGCCAGACATGAGTGGTCTGGGCAATTAGCAGGCTTCTGTTCAGTCCTTGGTTTTACTGACTGCAGAGCAAGCATGTCACTTGGATGCGATGGGAATTCAGGCATGTGAAGTAACTGGCCAGAATCCAGTGGCAAGACCAAAGGTGGCCGGGGACAGTATTTTAGTCCCCTACCCAATCTCCATAAGCCCTCCAAACATACCAAATACATAGAAATCTAAATTAAAACAAACAGCGGGCTTGCTATGTATGCAAATTCAAGACAAGTACAATAGCCTTTCTCTTCTAAATCGATTTTTGCCTGTAAGCCCCTTTTTCTGTAGGAATGCTAAAACTGTCCATACCAATAGTTTAGGAGGGAGAAGTCCTAGATTTAAAAAAATGAGTTATGGTTGGTGTTAAGCTTGTTTGCTTATATGTCCGTAGTCACATTGAGCCTCCTTGGATTCTATAGCTCCTGAGCAAAAGAGTTTGCGAAAGTTTCTGGTATTATAAGTTGAGCAAACATTGGCTAGAGACCTCTTGGATAACCAGAAGAGGCATTTAGGATTAAACTAGCTTATTAATAAATGGTTGGTAAGCATGTAGATAAAGAAGCCAATAGTGATTGCTCAGAAATTCCACTGATTCACTGAAAACAAATGATACACTATTTCCTATTTAAATGAGCTTTGTTGAGTGGTACATAAAAAAATGTTATAGGTAGTGTTTCATTTTAGTAGGACATATAATAGAGTCTCAACTGAAGAGGTTGTTGTGTAATGAAATTGGATTTGGAATTAGAAAACTAACCCGACTCGCCCACTTATCAGTTCCATGAGCTTTTGCAAGTCATGTAGTTGTTCTGAAACTAGGTTTCTTCATCTCTAAAACTGGCATATTTATTTATGTATTTTCAATCTCATTCCAAAATTACTGACTGCTTGAGAGCAAAGTTAAGAACTGTGGCTTGAATGAAACTCTAGTTAGAGGATGAATTCACAGTGAGATGAAAACTAGACTCATGTCAATTTTACCTCAATTTTTAAAAAATGTTAAAAAATCGTATGAAAAACGAATTAGGCTCAAAGACTATTGATCAATGGATCAGTGTCAGCTTTATATAAGGGTCTTAGTGGATGTCCCACACAACTTTAACTTTTGTCCTACTCAATGTATTTTATTGATACATTTTGTAGAAACATAGAATTGATTACAAAAATGCTACACAAAAATGTGGGAGGATAACTTCCAATTATAAAATTAAATTATCAAAATATTTTACACCCATAAAACTGGGCTAAAACACAATGCCAGGTTTATTATTCACAGACACAAACTATGCATAAACATATTCTTTAAATTATGAAATATCAGTAACATTATTACATGATGGGAGCCAACTATAACAGCAAATCAAGAAGAAAGCACTGAGGAATTTAATTGAAAATAAGCCAAACAGAAGAAAAATTCAAATGATTTTAGGAATTTCTTTCTTCTTCCACTTATGCAAATATTTCACCTTATTTCAATTAAACACTCATCAACTTTTCTCAGTTCCTCCCCTTGCGGCAGTCATACTTAGCTAGGAGTAATTATACTATGATTTGATCCATGTTGTGATAAAGTTATGTAAAAGGGACTGCAGAAACTGAGAAAAAGACATGCGTGAGACAATTTGCAGGTTTGTGTAAGTATGTTTAGGTGTGAGTGTACCTGTGTGGGTCAGTGGAAGCTATAGAGGCAGCTGATGCTGAGTTGGATCCTGAGGAACTGGCTTTATCTAGTTGGACAACACAGGGAAGAGCATCCCATATAAAGAAGATCATAGCTTGGGAGTACATGGCATAGTTTAGGAGTATTAAGAGTTTTATCTGGTTGGAGGAGGATAAATCTAATTACTTCCCCCCACCCCCTAAAAAAGTTTTATGTGGCCAAACCTT